GAGAGAACAATCATGTATGTAAATATAGTGGCATGGATGAAAGAATGAATAACTGGGTTATTTAGTGAGGGAAATCCAATATCGCAGTATTTCAGATGACTTAAAAACTAAAGCCATTTTTGCTGAGCCCACTCCTGCTTTTGGAAACTGACAGAATGGAACAGAGACTTCAAAATGGAATGGCCTCATCCTGACAGACATATTCTTATGATATGTTGATGGGCTTGATTGCTCTTAATGACTGAATGGGATTCTAGTAATGTGCCAGTGTCTCTTGGCTTTTCTGACTGTTTTGCTATAAAAAGCAGTAAAAGAAATACATATTTTGGTCTTCATCAACTTTTCTTACACAGATCTCCTAGGACATTTGTAATTTTCTAAGTGATGACAGCCATAAGGATTTCTTTTGTTAACTTAATAAGGTGACTTTTGGAAAGCACCTCAGGATAGGGGCTCTTTGCCAGAGCAATCAGTCAGATGAGAGGGTTAATTTTTTTAGTCCAAGCCCCGATTGCTGGAGTGGGAAAAGACCTCGACATCAAATAATTCACAATGGTCAAATATTTAATCAACTGTGCTTTTTGATGAAATAACCATAGAAACTGTAAGGATAGGGACTGGAGAGCTTCTAGTTGGTGGTGACCTGAGGACAAGGCAGGGGGTGGGGGGTGGGGTGTTGCTGTTCCTGGAGAGGACATATTAATTCAATATATCTGTCCTCATTCCTTGCACTATGCATCTCTTTTTTCTGACTGTTTCTGAGTTATATCTTGTTATATACTGGTAACCTAGTAAGTAAAAAGTTTCTTTTCATTCTGTGAGCCATTCTAGTAAATTAGCAAAGTCAAGGAGGGGACCTAGGGGACCTCTGAAATATAGCCAGATGGTCAGAAAAACAGGGGCTAACATAGGACTGTGACTTGCCTCTGAAGGTGTGAGTGTGCAGCCATGTGGGGCTGAGATCTTAACAGTGCAATCTAATGCTTTTTAGATAGCTTCAGAATCCAGATGATGTCTGAAGAATTATTTAGCCTATGTTTGGAGAATACTCCTCCTACCTCCCCCATATTGAAAATTGGGTCCAGGAACCCATTTACCTTCCCTAGGCAATAATTTTACTTTTTATGTACAACTACTGAAGAATTTCTAATTTGGCTCATCACTTCAGTGGGAATTCAGAGCACATAAGGGGCACACATGTAATTGGCAACCTAATTTTTCTGCTTTCATCAAATGGTACAATGCCAAATCTTCATTGAATTTGCCAGTTAAATGCACTTGGGAAACAAACAGAAGCAAGCATAAGAGATGAAAATGAACAAATTGGAAAGAGTTATTAACTTTCTGTTTTCCTATCACAACAAAAATTGTATCAAAAGCATAGCAACATGAGAAATTCTACTTGAAACACTAAACAATCTTAAAAGAGAATAATTCATTTATATAACATAAAATGTTGCTCATTATACTTTATAAATGGGGATTCTAGTACAGATTTTCTTTTCAAAAATTACAAAATAGCTAAAATGAATTGAATTTTCAGAAGTCTTTAGGTTATATATTTTCATGTTTTTTTTTTTTGGCCTACATATATAAATTCTAGACTTTGTCAAGAAAATTTTTTAGAAAATTGAATGAGTAATGTTGGCTTTATTAAATACCTTAATACAAAGGGAATTGACAGATTGTCATGGTTCTCACTAATTATGAGTGCAACTAAGAGTGTGAAAATTACAATTAGTTGTGGTTAGCACAAATGCCCTTGAATTATCTGTTTAAAGTACAATTTTGAAATATGCAATAGAGTCATTACTAAATTATTATTATTAATGATGATTGAATAAATACAAAACTGCTACAGTAAAACCACCACCTATTTGCAAATGATCGAGCATTGTCCTTACAGGAGGACAAAACAATTTAAAATGTCTATTTACAATTATTAACTAAACCATATGCTTATTTGTCTAGTGAACATATTGAGATTAGGCATCTCTCATTTACAAATGCTCCTTTTGCAGTGATAGTGATCTGTCTTGAATAAGGACTTTGAAGAAAAGTTTCCTATTTATTTTATTTTATTTATTTATTTATTAAAGATTTATTTATTTATACAAGAACCAGGGTACAGGCCAGATCCGAGGGAGGGTGACAGGATTCACCAGAGACAGAGCGGGGAACAGAACGGGCAGACTGACGAAATACAGAAATACACTGCTGAGAGAAGCAGGGGGCGAGACAGGAAAGGTCTGCGACGCTATGTGGGACTCTCGCCAGCAGGCCGGGATCGAACGGGCCAATGCTTAATCAAAGAAGTTACAATGTGCTGTCATCTATATGTTATTGATATAATTGTCCAATTGTTCATCTTTGCTGTCCTTTTTTTGATCACATATTTAAATCCCTTTTTTTTTTTTTGTGGGACCCTCACCGGTGGCCCAGGAACAAACCTGCGCTGCAGAGGCTGCAGGCAGCCTCCCTGCAGCCCAGTGCTCAACGGCTGCGCCACCAGGGGAGGCCCATATTTAAATCACTTCTAAGGAACTTTAATGAACTCTAAAACTTATGGGAGAGGAAAATCAATGTGAAAAGTTAAAAGACCAAAACCTGAAGACATAGCATTGATCATGATGTGCTAACTTATTATCAACCTTGCCATCACCTCCCTGGCCTCTTTAATGTTAACTTCCTTTTGTCACGTCTGTGAAAAAAAGTTTGATACAAGTGTCCCTCCAAAGCAGTGTCGTTCCCTTACTAAAATACATATAGACCACTAATTCAAAAAGCACACCTTGCTTTTTACACTTACATTCACATTTCAAAAGTGACATTTATAGTTTATTTAGAATGTACACACACATCTCGAAAGAAGCATGGCATGTATTGCATGAGATCACAAAGATCCTATAATTTGGGCAAGAGGCTATTTGGCTTGTTAGTGTCTAAGTAAGGTAATGTCAGGGGTGCAAATTCACCACTGGGGCTGTATTATTTATATAGATATGATCCTTTGGGTCACTAGATGAGTTAGAAAATAGTTCTCCGTTGAGTATTATCTGCAGGTTCCCATTTCCAGACAACCTAGAAAATGCTGGGGATTATTCTCTTTTTTCTCTCAATCAAACAGATCAATGTTATTTTGTTATTATTTTATTGCAGATTTACACATTTATTGTGTTTGCTTCATTATCCATGAGGTTAGACTTCTTCACATGTTTAACATTCATTTACATTTGTTTCCTATGGAATACTATCAGCTTATAGTCTCTGTATCTTTCTAGGGGGATATTTGGCTTTGTTCTTTAATGATATAATTTTTTTAGAGTGTAAATTTTGTCATTTATGTTGCAAAAAATTTAATCGGTTTGTCTGACATTTTTTTTTTTTTTGACATTTTAACTTTATTGTGTAACCACTCAGAATCTGTTTTGTGTGATGTAGTCCTTTTCTGGCTCTTGTTTCTTTTAGGGTGTCTGCCTTTGGGGTCATGTACATCCCTACCCTGGAATTAGGTCAATGTAAATCAGATGTCTGCACAGTTGCTCCAGCTGTGGCATCTGCAATCACATCTATGTGGAATAAACTCTGCCCATTCTTTAGTTTCCACAGCAAATCGACCTGCACATATTGTTTTGTGGAGCTAGTGTAGGGCATGGAGGACAGACTTCATGATAAATCTGTTTCATCAATAAGTACATCCATTCCACCATTATCTCTTCTTGCCAAATCTCCTTTCCATTTCTCTCTTTAGGGAGCACCAAAAGTTCTAACAGTATGTAGAACAACTAATGAACCATCTTGTGTATCTTGCCCTGTGACCCACCAGCTTTTTCAAGGATTTCCTATATATATATATATATATATATATATATATATATATATACTACTGACTTTTAGTGATTTGGGTGAATACGTTTTTCTCCAATTCATTAAAAAATGTTACTCTTTTATTCTCTCCTCTCACACACAGACACGCACACAAAGACTTATGTTCCATCTGCTGTATTGCCTGCTAAGGACATAAATACATAGGAGTAGAGATGAAAAAGGGGATGGTTGGGAATGAGTTCAGCACCCAGTGCAAACCTAAAAGGAAATGAAGCAGTGCACGGGGAAAGAGTATAAAGAGAAATTAAATTAGGTAGGCAATAGCACCATGCATCAGAAATCTTCACCATCTTTAAAATGGCAAATTTTCTCCAGGGGGCCATCTGTCAAACGATGTCAAAATGTTAGTTGGTTCTGTTTGTGGAGAGGACCTTTGTGTAGGAATACAAGTTTCACTCTAGGTCACAGTCCCAATGTTTCCATGATCCTGCAGAAGAACTGATTTTTGTGAAGGGTTCCTGGGAGGTGTGATCTGGTTTGAAGACAGAAGGTAGGTATTTTTTCCCTTGGTACCTTGGAGGAAAGAGACCAGACACAATGTATATAGGTTGTGTAAGAATGAAAAGAGGAGAAAGAACCTGACAGTTTCCTGCCAGGGAGCTGGAAGAGAAACGATAACAGTGGTGGTTTAGAGAGGAAAGAAAACAGTGCATTTCCAGCATCCTCCCTGTCCCTTCGCAGCGCTTGGGACTCCCACTCTGGTCTGGTCGGGACCGGCCAGCGCGCTTGGACTCCGGGTCGCACGCGGATGGGGCAGCGGGAAAGCCGAGTCAGCACCCCGGGACTCGGTTCCCCTAAAACGAAAACTCAGCAGGCGGCCCAGCGAGGGTGTGCTCGCGTGGAGTGTGAGTGTGCGTGCGTGCGAACCCGCGGACGCAGTTGGTCCGGCGACGCCCTCGAAGCCGCCCCCGACCCAGCCCACAGCCCCCGCCCCCACCATTCCTATAAAGGCCACGCTCGCCGCCGCCCTCCCCACAGTTGGGGAGCACGGCCTGCCCGGGAGGCGTCCCCCGCGCTCCCCGCACAGTTACACTCCGCGCACTTACACACTTGGAAGCGCCTCCCCGCGGCCCTCCCCTGCCCTCCTCCGGCTCCGCTCCGCGCTCTCGCCGCAAACAGTCGCCGACGGACTGTCAATCCGCCAGCTCCTCGCCCGCTCGCGCTCGCCCCCCTCCCTGCCGCTCGCTAGCTCAGCAACATGACTGACTGGGAAGCGGTGGCTCCGGCAAAGCAGCTCCGCTGGCGCAGGCTGGAGGAGCAGGAGGATTATTGAATAACGCAGCTCGACTCTGCTGCGGGGAGTGGAGAGGAGCCCCACAGCCGAAAGGGGCGGGAGGAGGGCAGAGGAGGGGAGCCAGAAAGAAGCCCCGTGCCCCGAAGACATAAATCCCCAAGCGCCCGAGAGGAGCCTTAACCAGCGGCGCGGAGCCCTCCAGGTAGTATCGCCCCCGGTGCCCCCGCGCCCGGCGGGTCGCGCGTCGCGTCGCCGCTGAGCCCGGTCGGTGCCGGGCGGACGCGGGGAGGACCGCCCGGCAGGTGACCCCGCCGTGCCCCGGCCGCCCCCGCCCAGGCCCGGGGCGCCAGCCGCGGAGGCGAGCTCGGCGCGGAACCTGGCGAGCCGGGAGGGTGGGAGGGGGAGGCGGCCGGGCGCCCCGGTCGCGACCCGAGACTCCGGGCGCGCTGCGTGGCCTTTTCCCCGCGCTCGCGAGCGCCGGGCTCCCCAAGGGCGATGCGGAGCGCGCCCGGCCGACGAGGCAAGAGTTGGCGCAGGCTCCGGGCGGGTCCCCGCCCTCGCCGCTCGGGTCCGCAGGTAGGGACGGCGGGCGCGCGCCGGAGCCCCGGGCTGCGGACTCAGGGCGGGGGCGGCGGCGCGGGGGCGGGGGGAGGGGGCGGGGAGCGGGGCTCCCGGGAGCCGCAGTGCCGGAGCCGGACCGCCGCCCGCCGCCGCCTGCCGTCCTCTGGCGCCGGCGCCCGGATCCGAGGCGAGAGCCTCCGAGGCGAGAGCCTCCCCGGCGGAGGCAGGAACGGCCGCGACTTAGAGTGAACAAATTGCTTTGTGGTGGCGCGTCAAGGGCTCCTGGGAGATTGTGTGTGTGTGTGTGTGTGTTCGTGTGTGTACGCGCGCGCGAGTGCGCGCGCGTTCCTGACTAATCAATGCGTTGGTTCACCTGAAAAGAACACCAGTCCAGAACTGAAACCGTGGCCCCTGGAGTCCCTGGGCTGGTGTCTCTGGGCTGGTGTTTCAGGGACTCTTGCACGCGGTGCCGCCGAGGAGCAGGGGTGCACGAAGGGGTGACGGAGGGTTTTGTGAATGGTGCTTCTGTCTGTGCGCGTGGAGGCTGAGCCTTGCTGTTGTAAGGGAGGAGGTATCCAGAGTGAAGAGAAAGGCTATTTATGGCAAAGAGTTGTGAAATTTCACGGGGTTTCCTTTGGTGTATCCTGAGCTGCAATTTCCCTCCCTCCTTTCTTTCTTCCCCTTTCCTTACTCTCTCTTCTCAGAATTAAAAGCAATTCTGCTTTTTTTTTTTTTTTTAAATACCCCTCCTGTTCCGTGGGAACCTGGACCAAGAAATGAAGGAAGTCAGAAAATCACTTTTTCTTTTTTATTTTAACAGTTAGAAAACAGTGTTTCTTAGAAGCCACTGATCTCTTGCGCTTCAATATTTTCATATACTTCCTATTCTTTATTACTCTCACCTTTCAGGTTATCAGTATGCCCCACAAGATAGAAAGTACCCACTTGGTTTCAACAGCTTCCATTTCTGTTATCTTTACAGTTGAATACCTTCGCACTGAAAATGTACCTTATCCTCCATCCCTACTCCCTAAAAAAGCTACTAAAAATAGTGTGCATACATTTCCCCTAAAGCTTGTTTTATTAAAAGCCTTGGGGAGTAAAGAGAAGTAGAGGCCTAGATGATTTTATATTCATTACTGATTCATCAAAAAATGGCTATTAAGACCACAAATACTGTTAATATAGACTGCAAAGCAGTTTGTTTCAGTTTCTCTTTCTCTTTACCTTAGAGCAGGTGCGAATTCAGAAACCATAACTTGTAAATTAGAGATGATTTCGTACACAGTCTACCAACTATGTTTTAATAAATTTATGATTGTTCTTAAAGGTAGCAGCCAATTTTTATGCGTTATGACTGCATTGTGAATGGGGTAGTAGGAGAATGTCATTATTTTAAATTGGATATCTGTTAAGTGCTTGCCTAGCACAGTGTTTTGAAAACATGGAACTTCCATGTTGTAACCAGCCCTTTAATAATTTCACAGAGAAGAAAGAGGTAAACTGCTCAATCTACTATCAGAGTGATTGGTCTTCATTTGCTATTAATTATAAAGCTCCTCATTTTGATCAAAACATACCAACTGTTGTGTTTTTCCCCCCAGTGAGAAAAAAATTTTCCTGAACAGTCATTTTGAAGGCAAGACATAGGAAGGGATTTGTTACTTTGATTCAGTTAGATTCATCGCAGGTTAAAATACATTGTCAACATTGGAGCATGTGGAGCTATATATGTTAGCTTAAAACTCAGACTGAGAATCCCACTTTGAGGCTTGTTACTTTAACTTTCCTGAATCATTGGATTGTAGAAATAATATCAAATAAAAAATGTATTAATGTATTTGATGAATTGTCTTACTGCTAGCATTAAAATGTCATATTTATGAATATGTTCCTTGACATTGTCAAAGAATCTGTAATTTTTTTAATGATGTGTTACTAGATTATAGGATTTGTTTACATTAAACTCATGTGACAGGAATTCAAAACTTTTACATCAATAGTTGTTTAATATTTTATTACATTTTGTTACTCAACATGATACAATAGACCACAAAGTGGAGAATCATAGAACCCCTTACCTCCTGCCCTTCATGAGCTTACTCTCCAGTTGGGATGAATTTGATACTGATGCTTGAACAGGTGATGACCCATGGCAATAACAGAGTGCATGTATAATGAGGAGGAGTTCAGAACATGAAAATTACATTTCATACTGGATTTTGTCTGAAAAAAGCTCTCAGGGTATAGATAAGGCTTGCTAGGTTTTGATCTTAAAGAATAAATAGAATTAGTGGTTGTGGATAGCATATAAGGTATAGGATCCAATTATAGAATAGAAGACATGGGAAGATAGGTTTGTTGTGAAATCTAGTTGTTACAAAGTGAATTTTTTTGTGCAAGTGCAAGGTGAGTCTGTTTATTGCATTTTGTACACACTATTCTAGGAATTTTCAATACTTCTGAACCTGAGGATATGGATCTTTGACATTATAGTCTTTTAATAAGCATAATACAGGACACATTTGTGGAGAATATTTACTGTAAATGTTTAAGTATACTACATTATCCTAAAGCATTTAGTTCAATATTAATGAAAATATAGAAAGGTGTTTTAGGTACTTCCTTAACCAACTCTTTTGAGATTTGCTCTAAATGAAAAGGTTTGGTTGTTAAAAAACTGTATAGTATTTGTCATGAGCACTCACTGAGGGTTTAGTATGTTATTCTTCTTATAAAATGTGTAACTCATTAAATAATATTTTATATAATAAATTTTATTTGAACGTTATTAGAGTACATCCACATCAGAGTTAATTTATCCTTGCATTATTTTCCATGAACATAGAACTATGATGCAAGGCTTTGTGGAACATTTAGAATTACATTACGGATCTTAAAAATACTTAAAACTATCTTCTGAAATAGATTGTGCTAATAATAGGACCAACTCCTGGCTCTGTACATTCCAAACTAAATTATTTATCCTTGTATGTATAGTTACTTTGTATATATAGTTTGTATATGTATTTTGTATATATACTTTGTATATATTATAGTTACTTTAAAGCAAATGCAGAACTGTTTAAAATGCATTTCTTTATTCTACTACCACAAGGGGAAACATCTGAACTGACTTTGAACCTATCTACTCATTCTGCTACTCTAGAAGTATGTTATGGTGACTGTAAAGAAATAGTACAAATACTAGATATTTCCTTTAATAAGTAAAAGAATAGGATTACTTTCAGATTAGTTGAATTAAAAGATTTTGTAACATATATTTTGTTGACAGTAACAGATAAGAGTTATTACAAAAGTGAGAGCCTATTAAATCACTGATTTCATATTCATGCAGCAATGGGATTATTTCTAATATAGATAAGAGTACTAACCAGCCTATCTGGTAATAGATGTCTCTCGAATTGGATTTTGGACTCCATGTCACAGGTGTATCATGTTGATAATGTATTCTCTCCTATATGATTGACAGCATCTGTGTGATTTCCCTATTGGATAGTGACAAAATCTGTGCTTTATATTGAGTACATACACTTATATCAGCAATATTATCTTCACTGTGCAAGAGTGTCAGCAAACAATGAAACATGAAGTCCAGGGTGGGAGAAGCAGTGAAAAAAGATGGGAAGATGGAGGAAAAACACTCAAAAAAGAAACATACTTCATGTAGCTTAAACCAAATATAATAGAAAAAGTCAAGCTGGGCATTCTAAACTACAGTTGATACAGTACCAGGATACTGTTGTAAGTATCCATCCACCAAATTCTGTCATAAACAGCTTATAATGTTAAATAAATGGTCAAAAAAAGGCAGTGCTTAAAATATTTACTAGATTCTATGGTATATTATTTTTTAAAAAGATTTTTGCACAGATTAATGACAGATTATATTTGCTGTTTGACTAAGTCCTGTCTTATACCTAGATTAATTTAAGATCTACTTTTTGGTAGTGCTTTTTTTACACAATGTTATCAATATTAAGTTCTAATAAACTTACTAAAATTTTGAATACCATAACTATATTGTGATACTAAATAAAATCTAAACATCATTAATAAGGAAATATTTTCTAATGGCAAAATCTTAACCAAGAGCAATAGTTTTCAAACTGTGGTTGCAGCAGTACCAACAGTTGTGAATTTGTTAAAATGCCCAAATTTAAATGCCTCCACAACACACTGATTGAATCAGAAACTATTACAGGGAGTCTTCTATATGATTTGTATGCACTCTGAAGTTGGAGAATTGCTGTCATCATTTTATAATGAAAGTTGGAGACTTTCTTCTGCCCGTTTTGCATAAGTACTTTCCTCAGCTGGTGGTGATAACTAAGGTCTTACTATATGTCTCCAAAGTATTACCCTTTCCATCAAAAGATTTTCATCTTAAATCTATTTTCAATTTCTGTGCAATACTTGCTGTTGATTGGGGAGCAATATATAAGTGTATATTTTAACTGGACAGTTATGACCTGAGGCTGGACCTCATTGAAGTACCTTGTGAAGCAGAAAATACGAACAGTGTATAAAGGTTGACCATTTTCTGTGTAACCATTTTCTATTTATTTTGTTGACTCTTATGTGATATTGTTTGGCTTGGCAAATGGTAATTATCTTTCT